GTCTGTGAGTGGTTTCATTTTTTTTTTCTGTTGTTTCAGGGGGTTTTTTCTGATCAGAAAATGCCTTTTTTTTTTAATGCCCCAAGGCCGGTGCCTCCCCCACCCAGGGCGGGGGCACCGGGCAGACGGGGTGCGCCTGAGGCGCTCATTCGATGTAGTTTTTTTTACCAAGTTCTAGATTAAAACTTTCCAGAAAGAGCCGGAGTCGCCGCCTCCTCTGTGCCAGGTACCCCCCGCCTCCCCCACTGTTCTACCCAGCCCTGTTCCACCCCAGAGCCAGCTGCATCTGTTCTGCCCTGCTCCTGGCACGTGGCCAGCTGCACCCCAGTACTGGGTGCAGGGCCTTGTATGCCCAGCCCCTGAACTGCGCCCCCTCAGCTGCATTTGTTCTTCCCAGAGCCAACTGCAAATCAACACTGGGTGAGGGGCACTGGCCATGCCCACTCCCTAGCCCTAACCCACCACCCCACCCCAGAGCCAGCTGCATCAGCATGGGTTGAAAGGTCCCTGTGACCCCACCCGAGCCAGCCACAGCCTGTTACGCCCAGCCATGCCCCAGACCCCAGGCAGCCTGTTATGCCCAGGCCCTGGTGCCCCCCCAGAAGCAGCCGCATCTCAGCCAGGGACAAGGCTGCCAGGCATGTAGTAAAATACCTTTATTGAAAACCCCCTTTCAAAACCCCTGTGCCCTGACCCCCCACGCCCCCTGGGGGCAGCCCCACCCCATCAGCTCCTGGGGTAGGGCTGCAAGTGGCCCCGCCCTCCTGTCCTGGGGGGCACCTCCAAGCCCTGCCCCTGTGCTGTCTCTGTCCTGCCCCCCGTGCCCCCAGCCACAAGCTAGTGCCCCCCAGTCCCTCCAGGGATCTCTCCCCCCAGCTCTGGGAGGGGCTGGGAGCCCCGGCCACCTGGGCTCTCCCCGCACTGCTCCAGGACGGGGCTCGGGGTACCTGGGAGCCCGGACGCCTGCGTTCTCCCCAGCTCTGGGGTGGCTGGGAGCCCGACCCCTGGCTTCTCCTGCCTCTTCTCTCCCCTGTGGCCGGAGGGGGGCGCAGGGCAGAT